TGTAACGAATTGAACGAAAAAAAAGAATAATATATGGTTACAATCCATTTTAAACAAGAAAAATTTCACATTTATAAACTGGACTATAGATACTGTACAGTTCTTATTATTAGTTCGGTAATCCAAGAATTATGTTTTAGAAAAGAAGAGATGATTATATAAAAGGTCCGCTTTAAACTTAATTTTAACTATCCTTCATTATTATTCAATTATTTCCTTTTTCAAAAATATGTGATGAATAATAAACATGAATAATTCCATCTTTCAGATTTTTCTCATATTTGTTTAAAATTTTAACTAAAAAGTGCGATTATTAATACAACTCTACTAATTGAATCAATTAAATTTTGTGAATTTAATTAATTTATACAAAGATATTAAGAAAATATAATATTAACATAACATAATATTATTAATACTATTTGTAAACACCCATAAACATGCATGACTGTATGATACATGTGCATTAATTGGCGGGAAAACACCCCTATACTACGAAGGAGAACACCCTTATATCAGAACTTGCAAGCACATGAAGTGAAAGTTTTTAAAATATATTTGACAGGTATATATACTTTATCAATAATGCGATTATATTTTACGGCAAGTACAAAAAGACTAGCATTAGAAGAAATTAAGTAATTATTTAATTACAATTTTTTTAATATTAATGTACATATAGCATTTAAATACAAAATTATTATCAGTGTAGTGTGACTACAATATGTGTTTTTATATCTCATATATATTATGTTTTGTTTATAATATTTATTATCTATGATAATATACGACAAAATTAAAGAATTTCATATATAAAATTCGATTATTTATATTGAATAGTAACAAGTAATCGAAAATTTTTTTTTTATAACAGATGAATCTCATTTTAATGTTCAGACGGATGAATCAAGACTTCGAGAAGTCTTCATAGTGAATTGATCTTCTTACACTTCAAGATGCTATTCCTTCTACTTCCCACGAATAAAACATGCTGTTAACTCCCCTCTTTGAAGAAGAAGGTGGTCCAATCAGCAGTTGCCCTCACGTTCCCGCGTCTGAACCTTAAAGTCCTAGCATCATCCTCAATCGTTTCTTGGATCGCAGGTCCGCGATCGTAGCCATATTGTTTGTGCGGGATTTTTCCTTAAGATCGTTGATCCCTCGTATCAAGTAAACAAGGTAAAGTGCCATCGTAAGAATTATTCAATAAGATTGTGTGATTTAATGTAAATATGCTTCCGAAAGCCGGCTATTACGAAAAATAATTAAATACAAATATAAGACTATTATAATATCGATCTATTGAACTCTTACATTTTTTTTTTTTTTT